CATTGTATGACTGAAACTCAATCATGAAAGCTTGTAACTGTATCTCATGGTAATTCAATTTTTTTAAATGTTAAAAATTTAAAAAATGAGGTGTTTCATAAATGTTAGGATGTAAAGAAACACAGTAGCAGAATAACAAACTTGCAAAAGTAACAAAACCTGAGAACTGATGTATGAAATTGAGCTTATCATTTTCACAGCAGGTGTGGGGCGGGGTGGGGGGAAGGGGGAACTGGTGGCAGAAATGATGTTGGAACAGTGATGCATGAAACCCTATCAGCAACAGTATTGCAAATAAGGGTGTCTAAAATAAATTAAAAAATAAAAAGTCGCCCTACCGAGGTCACCAGTTGCCCCCCACGAGCGGCTCTCCAGCACGGCCACGGCCCCAGAAGCACAAGGACTTAATGCAGAACCCAGCAGCTTGGAGCAGAAAAGTGAACGGACTATGCATTGATCCAGGCCATCAAGTCTGCCGGAGGGGAAAGGGTGTTGCCCCATTCGCCCTCTCCTCTCTGGAAAGAAAGATGGCGGCCACATGGGAGCCTTGTGGACAGCAGGTATGAGCCGGGAGTGTGGGGGCAACTAAAACCTCATGGGAAGGGGGGCGTTTCGGTCCGCCCTTCGCGACCTACCGAGGCCACCGGTTGCCCCCCGCGAGCGGCTCTCCAGCACGGCCACGACTCCAGAACACAGAAACCAATTTCTTAACTATCTGACTTTCAGTAGAAATACTTCCAGGGTCAATAGGTAAAATAGCAGAAATCCAAAACCAACATTTAATTCTTGAACCCAGCTGTAGAAAGCAAATCACTTCACAATGCTTTTTGAGCATGTCTGATTGGGGGGGGGGGGGTAAACTCTAAATAATAGTGGTGAATCTTTTATTGAAACAATGAATCCAATCAAAGCAGATAGAGTGTTAACTAGAATTCATCTGCCTCACAGGGACGGGGAGGGGTGGGGGTGGGGTTTTATTGGGGTTCTTCATGGTAAAAAATAAGTATTGGTAAAGGGAAATGTGTTTGATATTTGCATGACTGAGACATAAACCTGAAAGCTTTGTAACCTTTCCCACAGTGATTCAATAAATAAATAAAAAAAAAAGTAATGGCACAATAAATAGTTCAGAGGGAAAAAAAAATAAAAAAAAAAAAAAAGCAAGAAGTCCTGTAAGGATCCGTACATTAAACCAAAACAAATAAATAAAATATTCAACTAACAATTAGTCCCAACTGTGGAGGTGACAGAGAAATCAGAAAATACAAAAAGGAGTGATGAAAGCAGAATGACATAATGCCCATCTGCCACGCCAAGGTTGTTTTTTTTTTTTAAGCCACACCACTTGGCCACTCAAATTTACAACCATTGAAATCCCACTCAGCAGAGCAGCACCCTGACACCTGGGTTTGGGGGAACCTGGAGGTTGGGCACCAGGATTTTGGGAACAAAGATATGCTGGCAGATCCCAGGTTCCCAGGGGCGACTCTGTCTGAGCTGAATAAAGACTTGCCCCTTCCGCAAGCTCTTTTCCTCACCCAGAGCTTGTCAGTTACCTATGGGAACAGTTTCCCCTGCCAGACTGCTATCGTGATTTTCAATTGCAGATAAAGTTCAGATTCATGACTGTGAGAATTCTATAACATCATTTATTAAACCTTTGCCCTGGCACTTACAGATAAGGTGGACTTTATTGCCACATTCCAGAGAGAAACTGGGATTGAGAGAATCTACTGACCAAAGAGCACATTTTTGGGTGAGAAGGAGACAGGACACTAGCTGTGCCAAGTAGTTTTCAACCAATGTAAATCAACAGAAATGTTCTGCCAGTTCCCCCTGCAAAAATTATTGCCACTTAATTGCCAGTGTTTTTTGATTCTTGGTCCTTAGAGCAGTACCAGGCAGCTGGTAAAAATATGCAGGCAAATTCAGATGGAGTTTGTAGAAAATAATAGTGTCTTCTAGGATATAGAATATATATAGGATAAAATTATTTGGGCTTCCCATCATACACATTCAAAGAAGGAGAATCCAATTTGATGATTTATTAATAATTTAATAAATTAATTTTTTTTTATATTTTAAGTGTTTAAAAAAAATAAAAAGAAAAGGTGGAAAACTGCCTTCGGTCTCCCCTCTCTGTTCCAGAAATTGCTCCCCCTTCTGGTCAGAAGATAAAACCTCACAAATGGGGAACATGCATTCAGTTCCAGTTACCAAAGTTGGTGAAAATGACCAGGTTTTGTTGAAAGCATTCCTGGGCAGTTTCCAATCCCAAAGTTGACAGGAGGCTGGAAAAAAACTGTTCCTGGAGAAAAAAAATAGGATGAAAAAAGCTCTCTCTCCCGAGGCACAGCGTTCTGGGAAAGATGTCAAGGGCTGATGCATTGTGTCTCTAGTGTCAAATAAATTGTGACTTTTTTTCCTTTTTGATTGTTGGCTACAGAGTTATGAGTAGATGTTTTTCACATTTTCCACATTTTTTGAAGTCCTGAGAGAACCACATCTGTCTTTACTTCATATAAAGCCCTCACTGTTCTTTGAAAGAATTCTGTTTAATGTTAAAAAGTAAATTTTTCCAGCTCCTGGCTATTTATCATTAATTCACTTTAATCTTTAAGATTTTTTATATAACTAATTCAACTTTGGAAATAATTCTGGAAAATACTGAATCTTCAAGGATGAGATCGGCTAGGTTTGGAATACTTTGCATAAGATAGAAAGGAAGGAAAGGTGGGAGGAAGGAAGGAAGGAAGGAAGGAAGGAAGGAAGGAAGGAAGGAAGGAAGGAAGGAAGGAGGAGAGAAGGGAGGAAATGAAGTATGGAGGAAAGGATGGAAAGAAGGAAGGAGAAAGAACAAAATAAGGAAGGAAGAAAGGAGGGAAGGAGGAAGGAAGGACCTCAAATGAGTTCAAAACCCACCCAAGACTTACTACCTAACCAGAAGTTTCAATCTCTCACCAAAAAGGTATTTTAAACTATAAGTCTGCAGTTTGGGGTTAGTGTTAATGAAATAATCAGCAAGATAGAAGCTCCCCTGCCTTGTCTAGGAAAGGTGGCTTTATTAAAATAATATTCTTTTCCTTTTGCTATTAACTTGATGAGCCTCTTTCAGAAAATAAAACCCCCATTTTGTGAAGGTTCCTTGTAGAAAGTTCTTTCTACTGCTTGATAGGATGTGACCCAATTTATAATCATTGTATAAGGCCCATTAGATTTCAACATTATTCAGACGAATCTTATTTTCATTGTAACAAGATCAAAGAAAAAGCTACCTGTCCAGAGTAGTTTAAATGAGATTGATTATGGGCACTGGTGGAGGGATGGGTACTCAATCATTGTTTAACTGAAACCCAAGCACAAAAATTTATAAGTCTACAAATTGTACCTCATGGTGTTTCACTAATAAAAATTTTAAAAAATAATAAATTAGATTGATTCTATATTTGGAAAGTAGAATAGCCAGAAGATAGCTCAAAGGGCTAGAGCTCATGCCTTTAACACTGTAGACCCCATGGTCCACTGCCTGGTACCACATTCCAACCCCACCTCCAGCACTGGCTGGGTTAGCCCAGGTGACCCCTCACAACACCAGGCCCAAGAACTAACCATCAGGTCCTCACAGCTGGGCTAAATTGAACCAGGAGCGGCCCCCAGACCCCAAGCTCTGCCTGAATATATGCAACTCTGGTTTCCATACATTGCATATAAAATGGAAATGGTAGCCCTTAACACACACACACACACACACACACACACACACACACACACGTGTGCGCGCGTGCAACATAGAGTTAAAAACAGGAAAAAATTATTTCATTTTCTTACTCATCACTCCTCCTCCAACCAATAACTTAAGAAATCTTTTATAAATACTGTTTTTCTCTAGAAGTCAGAGGGTATCTTCAGAATAAAATGTGAAAGGTGTCCAAATTCGAAATTAGAGACAGAAATATTACTTGCTCACAAATTTCCATTGATTTATTCTCTAAGGTTTATGAAAAACAGGGAAAAGATAGATATAAAGCTGAATACCAAGAGCTCAGCTAAGAACCACCGGGAAAACAACCATCTTGAATAAAAGATGAGAAGAGTGGAAAGTGGTCAGCAGTGATCTGGGGCTGGGGGCTCTGGATGCAGACTTGGGGGATGTCAGAAAATGATATTCAAGCAGTAAGTTTTATTTCCCCTTTGGTTATTGGGCCACACCACTTGGTGCTCAGGGGTCACTCTTGGCTTTTCACTCATGAATCACTCCTGGAGGGCTCAGGGGACCATATGGGATGCCAGGGATCAAACTCAAGCCGGCTTCACGCAAGGCAAACACCCTACCCACTTTGCTACCGCTCCAGCCCCAAAAGCCAGGCGTACTGAATGATCTTCGTGGCCTCAGTTGCCAGTGAAAGCAGATACCAACTTAGAATGGAGGTGATTCTGGAGAGTCAGATATCAGAGAAAGTCTCCATATCACATAAGGAGTAAAGCCACAGTCACAGTGGTGGGGTGAGGTCATCTGCTCTGCACTTCAAAATATCCCTCTGGGGCCCCTCCAGGGCCCTATGTGGGAAGAGTATCTTGGTGGAAGACAAAAAGCACCTGTCTGGTAAACATGCTGCTAAGCTCAATCCCAGGAAAACACACATGCACCCATAAAGTTCAAATTGGTGTTTAAATAAAGTTTTAAAAAATTACATATGGCATTGGATCCCATTATTTTTTATAACATGAATTTTTAAATGTCTATCTTGAAGCATCACGGTTTGGATTATTTGTGATTTCACTTCTTACGAAATTCCCATTGTTCAACCAATGTTAACAGAGTTTGCAACAACTCTTTCTTTAAAAGCTGGGGAAGAAATAAAATCTGACTTTTTGCTCACGGAGATTCCATTCTTCCATGCTATTGAAGAGATGATAGATATCAGACATAAAGATACATAACGAGGGAACAAAATCTAACATTAAGTTAAGCCCCACCCCAAATAGTTGGAAGCGCTTACCTGAGGCGGGAGTCCTTAAAGCTATCAAAGTAGGCGGGATAACTCCATTCAATCTTACTCCCTCGACACCGGAGCTCCAGGGTCTGCCCTGCCCTCAGACTCAGGGTAGCTGCTGGCTTCTGGAAGCGCCCTTCGTCCATCATTTGTGTCATTATAGATGACGGTTTTGAATCGATGGAGTCTCTGTCCTTCATCTTCAGAATTTTGGGTTTCACCTTTTTGCCAGCTGGCTTGACTCTGTTCTCTCCTGGCTCCTTTGGACGCTTATTCTTGGGAGCATGTTGACCAGAAACTATGAAAGAACAACAGGCTACTGTAGTAACATACTTCAAATATTTAGCACCAGAAGCAGAATATTTTGTTTTATGGGCTGTACCCAACACAGCGCTGGAGGGCCATGTAGATTGACGAATTGTGATTGTTTACCACACATCCATGTGGATTGCTTACTACATGCAAAGCATATGCTCCAGCCCTTGCATCTCCCCAACTCTTCCAAAAAAATTGGGTTGTGGGGGGAGGGGAGTTGGGCCATACCTGGCAATACACAGGGTTGCTTCTGGCTCTCATTCAAAAATTACTCCTGTTGGGGCTCAGGGAGCCATACGGATTGTCAGGGATCAAATGTGGGTCAGACGCATACAAGGCAAGAGCCCGACCTGCTGTACTATCTTTCCTGTCACGCAAAATAGATTTTCTAAAAGTATTTTATTTTCTTTATGTTGGGGCTGGAGTTATAGCACAGTGGTAGGGCGTTTGCCTTGCGCGCAGCCAGCCTGGCCGAGCCGCGTTCGATTCCTCCGCTCCTCTCGGAGAGCCTGGCAAGCTACCAAGAGTATTCAATATGCCAAACACAGTAACAAGAAGTCTCACAATGGAGACATTACTGGGCCCGCTCGAGCAAATTGATGAACAACGGGAGGACAGTGACAGTGATAGTGGGGGTGGCATACAGCAAAACTCAAGACCTATCCCTGGCTCTATACTCAAGTGACCCTTGGTGGTACTCAGGGGATCATACACAGTGCTAAAGATTTAAACCAGGGTGAACAGAATGCAGAGCAAACACCTTTAGTTTTGAGCTATCTCTTTGGCCCCTGTATTAGTTGTCTTACTTAGTTTGGGTTTGAGGGACACACCCAACAGCGCTCAGGGCTTACTCCTGATAATGGTGGGAGACCATATGAGTGTCAGGGATCATACTGGGGTCAGCTGCATGTAAAGCAAAAACCTTAACCTCTACATATCACTCTACCATAGATATTACTTTAATTAATTTTGGGGAGAGCTTTTTGACTCAGGGCTTGCTTCTGACTTGTGCTCAGGGATCACTCCTGGCAATCCTCAGGAGACCATATGTGGCAGCAGGGATTGAACTGGAATCCACCACGGTGCAAGGTAAGATCTGCTATACTATCTCTCCAGCTCCAGATATTATTTTTAAATACTCCTCTCTTCAAATGTCAAAAATTATTTTCAGTAACAACTGTGATTTTCTTGCTGCAATCAACATGAAAAAAGTGATGGGGGACTCGGGAAGAGGGGCATGTGGCGCTGGGAATTGAACCTTGGCCTCCCACATGCAAAGTACTGTCTTGAACTATCTCTTCAATCCACCAGGAAAAAAAAAATTAAAAGTCAACCATGTCTGTGTAACTGAAGATGAATCACAGGGGCTCATTATTTTCTTGGTCCAGTCTTAATTTTTAAAAGAATGTATCCTGAAAGGAAAGATAGTTCCACTACAAAGGTTTTATTCAAATCCAGCAAAATATTTCATGCCTGACTCAAATTTGTACTTATCAGACAAAAATGCCATTCCTGTGGTTCTCCTCCACCTCACATCCTCCACACAGTCATAGAAGGGCAAAATCAAAGCCCCTGGGGTCTGTTTCTGGCTTTAGCAACCTCAGAGCTTTTGTAGTTCATTTCAAATCCACCAACCTACCATTTAAATGCAGGAATGTGTAGTTTCCAGCAAGAGAAGACAAAAGCTGCAGCAAGCACGCTCAGATATTTAACCGCGTCCAACTTTTCCCCATGAAGCAGCTTCAGTGGATCTGTGCATGTTAGGGTCTGCCTGACCTCGGGGAGACTAGAGGCTGGGGAGAGTCAACCCTAAAGCCAAATGCCTTATCCTATATAAGATCTTCAAACCAACTGGTAACTGGGGCAATTTAGAACTTAATTTTGAACTTAGTCAACAAAATGTACTGTATTTGAAGAAGTATTTCATTGCCCTCTTTCATTGAAAATCGTGGCCAAAACGTGACCCTAAAAAGCTGACCCACACACATGTCCATATTATCACTATCTTCCCATTTTCTCCAGAGAAAGGTATCCCTTACTACTTCCCATGACCTACCTGTGGTGTCCCCTGAACTCCAGAATCTCCAGGCACCCACACAGCTGTGAGCAGGAATGAGAAGTCAATTATCTGACTGTCCCATGCCATTTTGCTTGTTTGCCTGCATATCCCTCCACAAGAGGGTGAAACGTTGAGTGAAGTCAGAAGGAGGGGAGAGGTACGGAATGATCCACTCAGACGTGGGCCTAAAAGACACACAGCAAGCTATACCAGAGGGTCAGAGGCAGCCCCACAGGAGAATTGACCCAGACAGCTGAGTGGGGGATGTGGGGCTAAAGGGGAGGGCACTGGATTCCTGAAGAGAGGGAGGTGGGCACACAGGTGATGTGGTACTGTTGGAATTATGTGCAAAGGAAGCCATCATTCACAGTACTATAAATCATAGAACTTCAGATCATTGATTTGGATTTTGAGGCCAGACCCAGTGATGCTCCGGGCTTTACTAGTGCGTCTATTCAGGTATCACTCGTGGTGGAGCAGAACCATCAGGGGGTTCCAGAGATGGAACCAGGTCAGGCAGGTACAAGGCAATGCACTGCCCACTATCTCTCCAGCTCCCTCAAGTGTTTTTTTAAGATGATCTCCACAGATCCTCACATAATTACAGAATGTCCAACTTAAGAGATCAGGAGGTTATTTTGACAAAGCTCTCATGTTGTAGATGAAAATAAGAAAAGCAGGCCCAAAAAGAAAAATAACTTGCCCAAAGCTGGCTAGTTCAGGAAATGCGTGCTATCGGCGTCTCTGACTTGAGAGCACGTGCTCATTTCATTCTGTGTAAGCACCCTGGGTACAGGTAGAAAAGCTAAGGTCATGAACCAGAATCACCTGCAGGGATCAGAGAGCACTTGTATGAGTGGGGAAATGTGATAAGTCAAGAGAAAAACACCACCAGAAACTCAGCTGATTCTGACTCAATAGTGCAATGATGACTTTGGCTTCATTTATGCATTGCCCTTTGACCGCTGAAATTGGAGCCTGTTAACCTCACTACCACCAAATCATGGACCAATCCCATCGGCAGAAAACACAGGTTTGAAACTGTGGATTCTCTTGTGTACTTTTTTTTTTCAAATTTTTGTTTGTTTTGTTTATTTGGGGCTTTTTGTTTGTTTGATTAAATTTATTTATTTATTTTGAATACCCATCCCTCCACCAGTAACCCTTTCCCACCACCACGGATCCCAGTAACCCTCCCACCCCCATTCCTTCCGCATCCCACCCTGCCTCTGTGGCAGAGCATTCCCTTTTGTTCTCTTTTTCATATTCAGTGTTGTGGTTTATAAAAGAGTTTAGCCTGATTTTCAGGGAAAAACGTTGGAGAATTTATTTTCCATTGACCACTTTATATATAAGATGTCACGTGACCACATAAGCGGCCGCGCGGTTTGCAGTGAGAGTCCTGGTTCCTGCATAAGCGAGCTATGCTTGTAGAGGCTCATGGTCACCAGGGTTCCCTCTGGAGGAGGCAGGATGCGGCACCTACCCCATCTGGGACTTCCCGGTGATCTCGGCTCTCTTCGGGATCGGGATCTTGTGTACCTTTCTATCTGCAGATCCGAATTCAGGGATTCAACTAACCATGGGAATCTGCTGGTTAGACATACAAGCCAAACCTCAGATACTGACCCCACTCAGACACTAGCACCAAGTCCAATCTGAGCTCAGTATCTATACCCACCCTCAGGTACTTTTTCTTTCAGGCCTGTGTGCTCTAGGATCTCTACCCTCTTTCCCATGACTTCGCGCGGGTGTGACTTCTCTCCCTCTCTTCCTAGACTTGAGCACTTTTTCTTTCTCACCCCTCCTGCACTCAGATGCCCAGGCTCAAGGATCTTCGCTCAGTTCTTCCAGAGGGCACAGCTAAGTTCTTCACTCTGGTCTTTAAGGAACGTCCCCGACACTCCCATTGGACAAATTCCAATGATAAGGGGCACACACTTCCCTAACTTTCCAGAAAAAATGAAGCATTGCAGTCAGTGGGAACATGTCAGACTAACAGAAATATCTGTCACTAACTGAGTTATGACAATTGTGAAGCATGAGCCTCAGGTTTGTTTTTTTTTCCATTTTTTATAATTTTATTTATTGAATCACCGTGAGAGCAGTTACAAAGCTTTTGGGTCTAAGTCTCAGTCATACAATGAAACACCCGTACCTTCACCAGTGCCCATTCTCCACCACCAAAAATCCCAGTATACCCCTATCCCACACCCTCCCCCTGCCTGTGGGGCAGATGATCTCCACATTACTCTCTCTCTACTTTGATCACATTCACTACTTCGACACCAGACCCACCATTATTTAAGATTTTACCCCAACACTTAGATCTGCTGAAAAGGCAACAATAGACAATTTGTGTTCTATTGCTTGTTATGACTAACATATGATGTCGTGTGGCTGCAGTAGGGCCATGTGGTTTTGAAATTCTGAAATTTTAACACTTAAATCTGGAGGGATTTCTGCCAAAAGCCACTGGGTTTAGAGATCTGCTCCTGAGTCTCTGGGATCATGGCCGTTGAGCAGCTTGATGAGGAGCCAAAGAGGCCATTTGTGGGCGATGACTTGGGGGTCTCATTGGGGTGGGGAAGACAGGCCCGGCTCCACCTCCTCCCCCATCCCGTGAGACCCAACAAGTTTCGTTACTGCAGGCCCAAGCCTGACTGTCCAATGGCCTCTGGAGGATGACAGCCACCAAGTCACCAAGAGGGAGCAGGCGGAGGGACAGCACCCATTCCCCCCTGGGGTGGCCTGGTGACAGTAACCTACTGCGGGGTCCGGACACATTTCTGACAAAAGCCGCTGGGTTTCGAGATTTGTTTCTGAGTCTCTGGGATCAAGGCCACTGAGCAGCTTGATGAGGAGCCAGAGAGGCCGTTTGTGGGCGATGACTTGGGGTCTCGTTAGGGTGGGGAGGACAGGCC